ATTGTTATGCAATGCATGACTGTATTTATAATAAACTATAATTATGCCATAATGTAAAAAGACTGGACACTATTAACCCAGAGCACATTGTTCAAATATAGTGAAGGAAGTTAAAAAGTGCTTCCTGAACATGGGAGACAATTAATCTGGGATCTAAAAGATAAGTAGGAATTATCTGAGAGATGCAAGTAGGTAGAGAAAACATTTTAGGCAGATGAATCAGCAATTAGAGGGGGGCCTGAGGTGGACAAAACTGTGTGATTTCTGTGGAATTTAAAGAGAACCAGTGTGGTAGATTATGCGGCTACAATTCACACGCAGTCACTTTCTCCACGGGACTTTCCTTCCCTCCAGCACTCTCTAAGCTTGCTTCACACATCACCCTTTGCCTCAGAACATTGTTGAATCTGTGACTCTGTTTCCTAAATCCTTACCTTCAATGTGGGGTTATGAAAGTTCTGAATTTAAGGACTGTGCATTTTATCTCTTTACCCAAGCAGCAGCATAGCAACTGGGTAAAGAAAGAAAGATACAAAAAACAGTTATTTTTATTGAATATTTATTCATACAAGACCAAAAATAATTACTGAGGGTCTAATATGTGTCTTGAGTTCATTTTTTTGTCTCTTATATGTGAGTACATACAGTGGTTGTGGATGCTAAAGGTAATGGAAAGTTAAAAATATACAAACAAATTATTTGGAAAATAATTAAACAAAGAGTTCTTATCTAGGTGTTTGCAAGATATTTAACAGCTTAACATTGCTCTGCTCTAGTTTGATGATGATCAAATCACTGGAAGTGGCTTGTTTAGAAACAAGACAAGGACATGCATCTGAAGGACCACAGAATAATCAAGGGCACACATATGTTTGCTCCAACTACATAAGCTACAAGCCATTCAATATCTAAGGCTGTCTGGCTGCCCTTGTAAAATGCCTTTGAGTGAAAACATTTCAGATTGACAGTAAAGCCCAAGTAGGACAATGAGATTCCACAGCTCTCCGGGATGATTGTCTTTTTGGGATGCTGACATATGGTAGGGGGAAGTATAGAGGTAGGAAAAACAGGAGATGATGCTTCTATAAGTCATAATATCTCATCAATTAACCCATGCTGTTTTGTAAATTTTACCTATGAATTATGTACTATCTTGAACAGCAGCCTGGCAGATGTCAGATAAAATCAGACTAAAGCCCAAGTAAAACTGGATGTCAACATTTATTGTACATTCCAGTCACCACATTCTGGTATCCATATTGATGTGATTCTATCAATGCGTAACGTAGAAACTCACTTCTGTATTTGGGGAGATTAAAAAAATAACAGATGGATGGGACTACATTACAATTCTAGCACAACTTGAACCGAAATGGAAGTGGCAATGATGACAGCTAGATACATAGCATGGGTTGAAGGAGCCCCAATACTATCAAATGGACCCGTTTAACTGGTTTTCTGTTCTGCATTTTGACATAAAGAGATACCTCATAAAAGTTGGTATCCAACTTTATTAGTCATCAGGGAAATCACGTACTCTACATAATGGCTAAAATTAAAATGACAGGCAACATTAACTACTGGTGAGGCTGTAGAACAGCTGGGGGACTCACACACTGGCAGTGTGATAGGGGAAATGTGAACTGGTGTACTGTTTTGTAAAATTGTACGATAACATTTACTACATCTAAATTTTATGCACACATTTCCAACTCCTGGTTTTACACACAGGATAAGTGAGTGTACATCCCTCCAAAAAGACATGTACAAGAATGTTCACATTAACATTTTTTGGTAATAGAAAAAGGGAAAACAACTCAAATGCCTAACCACATTAAAGTAGATAAATGAATAATGATATATTTGTATGAAAGAATGCTATACAACAACGAGAATGAACGTACTGCAACCACTTGCACCAACATGGATGGACTGCACAAGTATGTTGTTGAATGAGACAGTATATGCTATAGGCATCTACTTATGAATGGGTCAAAAACTAGGACTCTAGTCTACTGTGCTAAAAATCAAGAAAGTAATTACTCCTTGGGGGTAAGAGACTAGTGACACAGGAAGGAGCAAGTAGAAGGCTTTGGTAATTCTAGTAATGTTCTGTTTCTTGGTCTGCGTCCTGGTTACAGGGGTAATTTTTTTTGAAAATTTACCTAGCAGTATACTTATCATTTAAGTATTCTCTACATGTATTCTATGTATCAAAAAAGATTTCCAAAAGCAAAGTCTATTCACCATTAGATTGTAAGAAACTTCAGAATTTTATTATTATAAAATTTTATCTCTAGTAGCACCTTGTATACAGTAAAATGCAGTATAGTTTTTAAAATGTGTTGTAAATTTCATAGAATATTTCAGTGAAGAATTATCTCTTGTTATTCAAACTTGCTGACTTCTTTATAAAGCAAAGATGTATTATTCACCCTTTGAGCACTTCTAATATTGTTTCCAGGATCAAGGAAACAAAAAAAAATCTGTTTTTTCTTGATATCATTATCATGCACTGAGCTTATATTCATAATGGCCATGACTCAGAGCCATACAACTATTTTCTGAAGATAGGAGTTTATAAGTATACAGTTGAACAACGTAGTTGACCAAGATTCAGAGAGGGTGGAGCATTACTTGGTAGCTGTACGAGAGGGATTTGGGTAGACACAAAATTCACACTTCCAGTGATTCTCAATTTTCAAATTTCTACCATGAATAACAGCACACACAATTTATTTTTGGAAATAAACAGAACTTGGCTTTTTTTGTAAGCGTTATTCTGACACATTTTTTTTTAAAGACTCATCCTTGTACATATGAACTATATTAGTAGAAACAGCCCTCAAGTTTGCTTATTTCTACTCTTTGTTGAAAACCCACCAGCCTTACAATAGGGAAATATTTAACAACACACATGTACTGACTTGTTACTCATGCAAATCCTTGTGCTAGGGATTGTGGGAATGTAAAAAGAGACATATGTGAATATGTCAATAAAGAATGTACTAGGTGCAGTGGATGTCATCCAGTCACAAAATCATTGAAATGAGAGTGGTTTACTTGTTGGGGGAAAAGAATCAGGCAATAACTAATGAAAAAAGCGATAAGTAAGATTACCATTCTTCTAAATGAGAGGTGAAGGAGAGTGTTTCAGAAATGGAAAAAACAGGGTGAATAATGAAAAGGAGTTGAAAATCATTATGTAGAGGATATATTTGAATTTCATCAGATATCTGTTTTCACTGCAGGAGGGTTTAGATTCATGGTAGCAATGAGCATAGCATTAAAATAAATTGTGGTAAATTTCTGTCATTGATCAATTTGGTGATGAGTGAAGAATTAAAATTTCAGTCTTTGCTACATTTGTTGCAGCATTCACAGGGGAAAATAGGGAAACAGAAATTTGATCAATTGCATTCATGTAGCACAGAAGAGCGAAGGCAGAGGCTCTAGAGATTTAAAGTCCCAAAAGTCACTAGGTAGAAATAAAATGCAATCTGCCTATTGCTCACATTATCAGAGATACGGACACAAAGACTTGTTCATTTCAGGTAGGTTTCTAAATGACTAAATTTTAAAAATATAGGGAAAAATACTTACTTTTTTGGAAAAACGAGGAATCAAGTCTTGAAGAATTTGTAAATGAATCATTTTATACCTGTTCACTCGGTTGAATTAACTCTGCAATCTAATAGACAATGATATTGCTTTATTAGCGCTGTGTGATCTTGACTGACCTCACTTGTCATTTGTATAAGGTTAGTAAGATTTTACCTATTTATATTTTAATCAAGGTTGATAAGTAAACTATTACTTTTTTTCACTGTGCAAGTAATATCATTGTATGTGTTAATTTAAGATTTGCTCTACTTTTATCATAAAATAAGGACGATAATACTTTAGAAATACCAATATGTGTAAGTCCAAGTACATATGGATCACGTAGCATAATATTTAAGTCTAGAAAAATAAAAATCAAGCAATCACCCACACTACTATTTTCATATTAATCAATAGATACGCACATACACGATGCATACATTAATACCAGAAACAGAAGATTATATATCTCGGAAACATTTATTTTTTTCCTCTTCCTATTTTCATTTTAATGAAAAAATCAACTTAAAATCTAAAATATGCAATTTTACATATCATAATCTGTTGTTCCCACTTCTTTTTAGCACTTCTCTTTGGCTTGTGAAGGGATTTTTCCTTTGGCAAATGTCACTCATAGAAATGGGTTATAAACGTTGTGGCAAACCAGTGAGGAAGAGTGATAGGATAGTTCTACAAAACATGGTCATGTTTCAGTAAACTAAAGACACCATACACCAAAAACCAGTGCAATAAGCATATTAATTTAATGCAATATCATTGTCTGTGATAATACAATTATATTTTGTTTTATATTGAGGTAACATTGGTTTATAACATTATATAGATTTTATGTGTACATCATTATATTTCAACTTCTGTATGACAGCATGGTGTTCATCACCAAAAGTCTAGTTTTCATCCATCACTGTACAAATGACCCCTTTACCCATTTGGCCCTCCCCCCAATATGTTTCTTAAATAATGCAATAAATGAGATTCTTATTGTCAAACATATATTAGCCCTGTATCTTCTGGCCTTGTCTTTCTAACTTTATTGTCCCTCTTATATTATTTTGGATGCAGAATAAGCTTTCAGTTCATCCAAATCTGCTGCCCGAATTGGGCAACAGAAGCCAAGATGAGTCACATATCTCAGGAGTGATATGTAGATTTAGAATAAAAGCTCATCAACTTCCAATCCTAGACATTTTTAGTTTTTTCACAAGATAATAATGCCTCTTTAAAGTGACAGTTGGGCTATTTTCTGAGGGTAAAGAAGTCAATTTACAGAAATAAATCCTCTTCTGTCTTACAGATAATCCTTTTTTGGATATCCAGAAGGCTCAAATGCTGAACTGTTGTTTTCTTGATCATTTTTGTAAAACTTTACAAAAATAATAAAGAAAATGGATAGTGGAAATTGCTCTTCCTTGACCAAATTCTTTCTCTTGGGAATTACCAACAACCCTGAAACCAAACTGACTCTATTTACCACTTTTCTAGTTGTTTATCTCGTTAGTCTTCTGGCGAACCTTGGAATGATCATTTTAATTAGCATGGATTCCCAACTTCACACACCGATGTACTTTTTCCTCAGCCACCTCTCTTTCTGTGACCTCTGTTATTCCACAGCAGTTGGACCCAAGATGCTGGTGGACCTTTTTGCCAAGAACAACTCAATCCCCTTTTTTGGTTGTGCTTTGCAATTCTTCATCTTCTGCACCTTTGCAGATTCTGAGTGTCTTTTGCTGGCAGTGATGGCCTTTGATCGGTACAAGGCCATTAGCAACCCCTTGCTCTACACAGTCAACATGTCCAGCAGAGTGTGCCTCCTGCTCATGGCTGGGGTTTATCTGGTGGGAATGGCAGATGCTTTGATACACACAACATTAACATTCCACCTATGTTTCTGTGGGTCAAATGAGATTAACCATTTCTTCTGTGATATCCCTCCTCTCCTATTGCTCTCTTGCTCAGATACACAGGTCAATGAGTTGGTGATATTTACCATTTTTGGTTTCATTGAACTGAGTACCATTTCAGGAGTTCTTATCTCTTACTGTTACATTATCTTATCTGTCTTGAAGATCCACTCTGCTGAGGGGAGAGTCAAAGCTTTTTCCACCTGCACCTCCCACTTAACTGCTGTGGCAATTTTCCAGGGAACTATACTCTTCATGTATTTTAGGCCAAGTTCTTCCTACTCCCTAGATCAAGACAAAACGACCTCATTGTTTTACACTCTTGTGATTCCTATGTTAAACCCTCTGATTTATAGCCTACGGAACAAAGATGTGAAAAAGGCCCTGAAAAAATTGAAAACTAAAATTCAATTTTAAGTAAATAAGTATATAGTATAAATAAATATGTATTTATATATGTATACACACAAACATGCTCTTTTGTTTTCCAAATCATTTATTATACTATAAAGTTGTTTCAAATACCTTAATTAATAAAATAAGTATTTTACTAAGCTGGAATGGTACCAATATTTTGGAATTTCTGTATTTCCTTGTATATATCCATTTAATTAAGGTGCTCTCTATTTTTTTAGAAAACTTTCCAATTGCCATCTTAGTCTGCCAATCTTTCACTTGTTTAATGTTTATTTTATGCAGTAATTTAATTATTCTAAGAGCTATTAGAGTTTAGAATGCACTTGTTTTACTTCTAAGTGCTTTGCATGTTATGATGAATCAATAATTTCTATACAAATGAGTCCTAATGAAGGCATATTAATTAATAGAAATGAGTATGATTATTTAACCAATACTACAAGTATTCATAATAAACTCTAAATCATCCGGAAGTAAAAAAGTAAAGGGTGACATATATATGGTGATGGACAAACAAAAATGTACAACCCCATATTTCACAATGTTATAAACTATTAAAACATCAATAAAAAAGTAAAAAATAAAAAACATTAAAAAATTAAAAAATAAAAAAAGAAAGTAACATACTCTAAGTTCAAGCAAAATGTCTAAATCTAGAGTAGAGAAAAGAAAAAATTTTTTGACATTCAGTTTCAGAAATAAACAATCAATAGAGATACAGTGGATGGTGGGGAGAAGTAAGGATTCTACACAGAACGGCTGGGGGTTAGAGATCCTGAGGTGCATAGAAAATGCCTTCTTAGAGGATAGAAAGCAAAAGTGGAGGGTCCTGGTAAAGTACATCCTTGTACTAAAATTCTCAATTCAGTCACTTCCACTCAACTGTTCTTCCCTTCTTCTGTCCTCTGATTTCTAGTTAAATGACTCTTTTTTGTTTGTAAATAATACTCTCCTTAAGGCAACATTTTCTCTCTCACTCTGATGATTAAACCATTGACTCCAAAGAAACTGTGAACATTCATTGTTCCAGGACTGAGTGTTTCGTTCCTGTCCTCCCAGTACCTGCGTTGTATCTGGAACACAAAATGGAAAAACAAAAAATAATAAAAACCACATACACGATAATATTTTTGAATGCTTATTAGATATCACTCAAAACATAATTAAATGAGGATATAATATGTGCCTTGTATATATACTTGATAGCTTTTAAGAAAGCACATAAAATGGTTTTGGATACTAAGGTCATAAATCTATAAAGATATTCATATTCATTTCACAAGAAGTAAAAATACTCATCTGCATACTTTCTCGATGTGCTCTGCTTCGTCTGGCTCTGCTTAAGTTTTCTGATGTCCACCACTGGAAGCAGCTTGTTGAGAAAACATGGATATGGCTATATTTTTGAAGGATCATATAAGACTCAAAGATGTTCTTAATTATCTTTAGAATTATACTCCTTGAGTAATTGTAAATGTCCATGGTGAAAGAATTTCAGAAAAGAAGTAAATCCCAAGAAAATCTCTTTGCTTTCCAAGACTGCATTTCTAGAACATTGTGACAGATTAAGGGAGAATATGGTAGTGGAAAAAATCAATAGTTAATGCTTCTTCTAGAAAAAAAGTTTCAAGGGTTTCCACCTGTAACATATTTCTCAATTTATCCATATTCTTTTGTTAATCTCTCTTACTAGCAGCAACATGGCAGAAACATTGTTTGAAATATATTAAAATCAAAACAAATTGGAGGGTCAGTGGATTGCCACTAATTCAGAAGCTATAAACGTGCCATCTTCCATGCATGTGACATATGACAGTAATATCATGTAAAGATTGATTTGATCTGCATATGGGCCACTTTAATCACATATAATGAGTTCAAACTAAGGAGAATAAAGTTTTAAACCCCATAAACAAATATCATAAGATCAATAAATGTATGTGTGAAAATGAAAGAAACTAATCTGATTAATTGTAGGCTTCATCTCCCTGAATTTATGCAGTTAGAGGTTGAAAAATTACTTACTGGGAATATTGCATAGTAGATTCATCACTTAAGTGGGAACTTGGAGAAGATGGTTGAACTAACCCTATTGTGTTGAGATTTCACAGAAATAGGGAAAACATCAAAAGGCTTTGGTCTATTCTAGCTCATTTACTCCATTCCTCACCATTTCCTTCCGCTGTCTGTTTCTCTTTTTTTTTTTTTTTTTTTTTTTTAAGATTTTATTTATTCAGTTTTTTCCCCCCAAAGCCCCAGTAGATAGTTGTATGTCATAGGTTCACATCCTTCTAGTTGCTGTACGTGGGACTCGGCCTCACGTTGGACGGAGAAGTGGTGCCTCGGGGCGCTCCCGGGATCCGAACCCGGGCCGCCAGCATCAGAGCGCGCGCACTTAACTGCTAAGCCACGGAGCCGGCCCATGTTTCTCTATATCCCACTGTTCTCACACATTCATCAGCGACTGATGAAAATACTATTATTCAAAATGATTTTATCAATGACTGTGTGAAGTGAGTTAATATAATAGGCATTTTTCTATGTCTAGATTCCTTTATTTCAGCCTTGCACTGTAATCCCTACAGATAATAATTACATAGTGATGGTAGATTTGGTCACATGTATAACACAGTGAACAGACAGATACATGCTGGTGATAGGCTGCATAACTACATTTGTTAGAATACAACAGTAGCAAAGCTCAATGATCCAATACATGGGAGGTCCCGTGTAAAGCCAGAGGCAGCAATTTTTAACCTCCCTGGAAAACTGTACACAGAAATATGCTGTGAACCCTGCACCCAAAGCAACTCCAAATCTCTGTGGTGTTTAACAAATCACTCTTCCTCACTAGACCTCAGTCCCTCCTCTGTAAAAGAGGGTCTCACATTTGATTATCCCTAAATTCCTTTTCAGTTTTGACAATCTGTCTCTATATGTC